TTTTTGGTCGAATTGCTCTATTGAAATCTTTCTTACTGTATCCATTCCAACCAAAGGCCCTTTCCAGGTGTTTTAATTCTCCCTCTAACTCGTCTGTTTCGCAGATTCTTCTGACTCTTTCGGTGAGAGTTTTGATGACTCCTCTCTTTTGACTGGGGTGATGCGTAGGTTGGGTGCTGTAGAGTTTTCAATTTTTTTTGGAGGCCACTGTCCAAAACTCGTAATTAGAGGGTCTGTAGAGATTACTAAATTACTTAAAATGCCAGAGTTTGTATCTACTCTAGAACATTTTCTATCATGGCCCTGTCTACATTGCTTAATGTCTTTATTCCTCTCTCTCTGCTTGATGATTTTGATTTTTTAATTTTCGATCAGTTTATATCTTGTTAATCCCCAGTGTGTGATGGAAAAATTAACTAATTAAGTTTAACATTTTAAAGTTAATTAATAATTAAGCAAAAAATAACTCAACAAATTAAAAATTGATTTTTACACGAGCTCTCAGATCAGACTTTCGTTCCGATTTTATGAAACTTCCAGTTCATGCAATTTGATAATATCAACATATTATGTTGTGCAGAAGTGGCCTTAAGGGCAAATTCACATTCGAGCCATATTAGGATTTATGAATTATATCCTTCCTCTGCTCGCATCATCGAAAGCGACGGAATAATTAACTTGATTTTCACACGAGCTCTCAGATCGTACTTTTACTCTATTTTTATGAAACTTTCAGGTCGTGCAGCTTGATATGTTGTGAAAAAGTGTTGTAAAGCTTTAGTTCTACCTTAAACTAGCAGTTGACATTTCTATCGTCCCCTTGCAGGTGATTTCATTGTATGCATAGTCTAGTTTCTATTCGCTTTTTTACTTGTGATATGCAGTATTATTATGCAGTGTGTCGAACTTAAGATGGAAACACCCCTGTATCTTATTTATTTTTGACAGGATTTTCATTTTTGTTATAGAGGTAGAACGTCATGAGTCTTTTAACTTCAGATGAAAACCCAGCGTACTACGACTTTGCGAATAGGGGCAATTTGCTATATTTTGCGATGCGTTTGAGATATCGGAAAAAGTTACTAGGCAAAGTTGTTCAGAATGTTATTTTAACGGTAAATACCGAGTTTCAAGTCAAAAGTCAAATTTGGGCGTAAAAAATAATTAATATATAAATAAAACTCTTATCTTAAATAATAACATAAGCATTAATTTTCCAACACTGGAACTACTTTTCGAAATTTTTTACAAACTTCTTTTTGGGTATTTCGCCTCAAAAATTTTTGTCTTTAAAAAAGACAGAATGTCCTCACGGCTTTTATTACAGATTGATAAATAGTGCTCCCATTTCGCAATAAGAACGAATTATTTATCAAAAAGTAATCAAGAACTATCACCTAGAGGGTATCCTGCGACACACTTAGGCTCAAGCTGTAAGAGAAAATTCCAATTAGTAGACAAATTAATTTGAAAAATTACATTGACCTTTCGATAGCTATTTTCTGCTATCGTTATCAAAAGAACCTAAATGAACCTAAAAAAGAGTATGATAATAAATTGTGTAACAATAGTAGGATAATACAATATATGAAAATTCGCTCTGATAATTCGTCTGTGCAAATTGTCAGTTATGTGTTTTTTTTTCCAATTTTTATTTACAATTATTTTTTTACAATATAACAACCTACCTTTAGCCTTTTCAGAACTTCTTCTGTTGTCAAAACTTCGTCATAAGTTAGTGTTTGATCGAGCTCGCAAGCATTCAACTATCGTGGTTCCAGTTTCCTGGTTGAAAGTGTTTTTTCTTCCACGATTTGCCTCAATTGAAAGCCATTATTTTTTTGTATTCAGCAGCCGCTCGATAAGTTGTTTATGTTTTTCACTTCAGCGACAGCATTAGCAAGATCATCTTTAGTGTAGCACGGTCAACATATTTTCGAGACATTTGAAAAAATAATACTTTTATTAATTTTCAAATTTAGTGCCTATATATTTTTTAATATATATAATTTACTTTACTTTCACCGCAAAATGTTGTTCATAATTTCACCATATTCCATAAACAACAATAGAACAAACGGTTTATTAAAAAATCAGTTTTTATGCAAGTGAAGGTAGATAAAGTGATATATTTTAGCAATTTATAACTCAAAAAAACAATACTTACCTTTAAAAAAACTCACATTAATTTTATGTAGTGTCGATCGCGAGAAGTTCCCGGGAATTGAAAAGGGACGCGTAAGAAGAAACTGCTGAGCCTTATAAGAAGAGGTAGTAAAGCTGTTAAGATTAGCAGACGTGATAGATTTTGCTGTAAATTTAAACTGAAATCTGTGCATGTTTACATTTACCCCACTTGACGCTACTGCCCTCTGTTTCCTCATGAGCGATCAGTGCAATCATATCCTTTGGATACCAGTTCTCAGTATTGTAGATCATTATTACATATGTCATGTAAGGGAAAAGAACATGTGTTGGCGCTGCGAATTTTTAGTTGTCTGTAATTGTTTCTATTTAACATTATTCAAATTTGCATTGTTAATACCACCTGCATATTTTTTTAGCGAAAAATTGAGTTGTTGGAAAGGGAACTTCACGCTTCTCGTCAAATTTTAATAAAGCAAGCTTGCCACAGATGCCAGAACGGCGATGGCGAGAGGCATGATGATAGTGTAAGTATTCTAGTAATTGATACTCTAATATTAAGCTTAAATATAACATACTTACATTTCACGTTTTAGTATGATGATTCTTAAGTAATTGAGAATTCAAACAGTTTTCTTGTAATATTTAAGTTTGATAGGTAATTGAGACATGTAGCACAATTGAGACTTGTGTAGTATTAATTTGCTTCTTGAAAATGTTTTACTACATACATGTTTTTTTGTTTAGTGTAGTAGTTCCATTGCCACATCGTCAAGTCGAAGTTCTTGTTGCTCAAAAAATTGCCTTCAGTTAGTCGGTGAAGAAAAGCTAGTAAGATTTATTTTGTTGTGATTTTCTAAACTAACCCAGTTTTTTATTGTTGTTTGATACTTTATCAAAGAAGCAACCTATATACACGTAATCCGCCATTAAAGCAAATATGTTAAATTTGTCGTAATTATTTTGCAGATTATTTATTAATTTCTTCGTTAAAAATTGAAACAGGAGTTTGCTTGGTTTAGTGCGGTTTTTTACATTAACTAACTTTGTTATTGATTTACTAAAACTACTCTTAACGATTTGCTAACAATGGTGTCAAAATTACCACTAACTAAACTACGGTGGTGAGAACTCACACTTTGAGTTATTTGAAAACGTGCTAGAAGAAATTAACATTTATAAATAAAATAACTAATAGTGGCAATTAATAATTGTAATGTTTTGTCTCAAAGAACGTCAAATGTTAACTGAAAGAAAGTTGGGTGGCTCATTTTATGGATAAGTTAGCAATATATATTTTCGTATTTCGTTTAATTAAAAGTGCAAAAATCACTAAAATTTTTCCCCATTTTGTTGAGGATTTAGGTTCGTCATATCTATGCAATCCTCAAATTGATTGAATTTATCAGCTGATTTTTTTTGTAAAGTATAACATGATGTTCAAGCCTCCAAATGTATTTATTTTTGTGTTTCCTCTTTCATGCTATTAAGCCATTTCAAACAATTTTATGCTATCGAAACTATTTTCATGAACTATAAATGCTTCAAATCTATTAGTCTAAGGCCGATATGTTTAGACGATCTTTGGAACTTTGCCGGATATTGTTTTGGCGGATAGCCGAGCGTGCCGCCGCCGACGCGGAAGCGACGGGTTTTTTATGCAAAGCTGTTCTTCGTTAGACACTTCGCCGACGATTCTCCCATAGAATGAGCATGCGCAATATTGCTTTGGTGGCCCCCGTCGTCCGCTTTTGCGGTGGTATTATTAATTTACCGATAAAAGTTCGGCACTGCTTGCGGTTTAGTTACGCCGTCAAAGGCAAAAAAGATCAGTGCTTTCCACTGGGGCTAGTTGCCTCGAAGGAGCCAACATATTGCATAAATAAAAAACGATTGCAGATCTATTTCTGCTAGTCTTTTGTCTTGTATTTGGTCGTGGAATATGAGGTTAAACGTATCCAACCTAATTTCGGATCACCCTGTTCAAGTCAGTATATTTTATACTAAAAAGATAGAATCGATTAAATATTCCACAATTCAGCTCTAAAAAAACTAAATTTGCACGCAAAGTAGATGTGGCTTGTCCCGATCATTTAGCGAAAATCGGCTTTCAAATCTGGAAGCAATTTGTCAAACAAATTAGGATAACACACGTCTCTTTTTCCACAGACTTCAGTAATAGAATCCCTAAACAGTGCTGGTGAAAGTCATGTATCAGCCGGAGAATCTTTGCGCTCGGATTTGTCTTGGGTGGATGTGGAAGAAAGCGTTGAATGTCAAGGAACGCTTTGGGTTCCCGATCATGCGGTAAGCAGATGTACGGGGTGCGGAACAGCTTTTTGGATGGGAAGGAGGCGCCATCACTGTAGGTGAGCCACAGCCTAAATACATGGTTTATGTCTCGTCTAACAACGACAATATATTAATAGAACTGTGAACTGCTTTAGGAAATGTGGTCGAATATTCTGCGCCGATTGTTCTGAACACGCGACACCACTTCCATCGGAACAGCTTTATAATCCCGTTCGCGTATGCACTGGCTGCTACTCAGACCTGAAACAAATCGACCGACCTTTATTGCTAAACAGCATCTCTGACTCCTTAGCAGAGCAGTGCAGTCGAGGTTCCTCAGGGTCGCAGGAAAGCCAGAGAATCCAAACCCAAATAGCCGCATCAAGTAACTAAATAAGTAAGTATATGGTATGGTCGTACACTTGTGATTTTGTTATTTTTGAATAGGGTTTTTATGAGCGTCAATACTAGTGATGTTATACATAGTAGTATGTAGATGAAACTCGCTTATTTACCCAATCTAGTTTTTTAAGTAAATTTTTCGTAAGGTTTTGGTTCTGCGTCAAAGCTTCACAAAAAGTGTTTTCGATAGACTTGAGTGTTTTTAATATACGCACTCTACTGTTCATTTTCTGACCACACCAAGAAACAAACCACTATTTTCATGATTTTATTAGACAATCTGTTCAGTTTTATATTGTTCTTTCATTGCATCTGAGGAAACAGAGTCGACACAATTTTTCAATTAAGCATACGAATTGACTTTTTGACAAAAAAATAATGTTTTAGATTTTCGGATCTAAACAGGGCGGTTTTTCTAGCGTGCAAGTATTTTAAAAAGGATCCTCCGCGCTTTCTTTATCACCCATTATCAGTTAACTCCGGGTTTCCCAAACTGTGTTCCGCGAAAAATGTTGTATTTTTTTAAGTGTTAAAATAAAGTGTTGGTAGAGAATGGAAAAACGTTACTCAAAAAATGGGGTGACTTTTTTGTGGGTGTTAAAATAAAGTTCAGTAGAAATCAATTTAAAAATAAACAAGTGTTCCGTTAAAATTCCTGGGTTTACATAGTGTTCGATTCTAGAAAAGGGTTGGGCAACCCTGGGTTGACTGCTGGCCGTAGGTCTTTTCCATGCTGTTTGGTCTTGTGCTACCCGAAACTATATGTTCCCTGTTGTTTGTTTAACATTATCGAGTGTCYCACCCATTTCCACTTCATTTACGCAATGCGTGCTTTACATCAATGACTGGATAATTTCGAACGTTTATTTTCTGTCCCTAAGGAGGATGTTAAGCATCGTCCTGTCAATCACACTTTGCTCTTTTTTGTTTGTGTTATTGTGTCCAAGCCATATGTTACTACCGGCAATATTAAGGACTAAAAAGCTTTTAAAATTTACAAGGCCGGGACTGGTTTTAAAACGTACTTGATCTTCCCGAAGTCTGTCCAAGGTAGCATACCTTTTCGTCAAATTATCTTCACCGTTCGATTTTTGTTGCCTCAATAAGAATAGCCTTATTGTATGTTCCAGAAAAATAAACTCTTACCTTTTCCGGTTTCGTACCATCTAAATATACTTTAATCCTCCCATTTTTGGAAATCGTGCACCTATCCCTATAAAGGACTAGCAACCCCACAAAAATGAGTAAAAGTTTGTTATGTGAAGTTAATATTCCAGGCAACCTGTTCGGATTTTTCAATAAAATGCTACTCTTATTTTGCAATAACAAATATATTTTGAAAATTTTTACCATAACGTTTAAATGCAAATTGCTCTCGTAATTTTTAACTTCTATCGAGTAAAAATGCTCTTCACATTAAAATGTCTCAAGCCCGCTGTATTGAATAAATGAAAAACGTAAATAAAATTTTAGTTACAACGGGCTGTTTAAACGGTCTTCATTCCTTAAACAGAAGAGCAAGTTTTTAATTTTTCATTCAAATTAAACACATCGCTTGTGGGTCGATGTATGTAACAAGCTAGTATGCTTTTTAACTGAAAATGAGCTACTAAATATTTGTCACAAAATGGGGAAACGACCTGTATAGATGATAAACGTTTGTAATCGACTCAACATTGTGCTGAGCGCATTGAAATACGTTAAGCAAAGTTTAAAAGGCAATACACTGCAGTTATTTTGATGATGATTGATGGGGATGTAAAATTGTAGGTGCCTAAAGGAGACTGAAGTGATTTACTTGAAAGAAGCGAGATCGCGTTAGAAAATGTTTAAATAAATTAAATCTAATTTATAATTCGGGGATTAAAATATGAACATTGTTAGATCGTATTAATTATGCAACTTGAGATTGTATTGTTACTATATTGGCCGAATTACCGACTTTGGAGAATAAAATTATTAATGAAACATTTTGAGTTAATCCTTGGCAATACGCAATAATCAGCTCCGCTTTTCGGAATTGATCTATCTACAATTTGCGCTTTCAAATCGTAGTTTAACTAGTCTTGTTTTGATTATTAACCAGAAACTTTTCGCCTTATGCGTGGACCGTTTAATGTCATATGAAAAGTAGGACAGATAAGCCGGCTTGTAATGCATTGCAATGTTTCTTAATATAATTTAACAGTTCAAAAGCAACTTAGCGTTTGCGTTATGTATCATATAATATACACGAGATTAGAATAATCACTAATTGTTGTACAAAACTCTACAAAAAGATTATTTTAATTAAATGACATTTTATTTATATTTGGTTAGTTATAATTAATCGATTTTGAATATATTTTGAAACATCACAATAATGACTATTGAGAACATTGTCGTTTCATTTATATCCTTCCTGTTGTATATGTTACGGAACTTCGCTAATGTCAACATTAACCGGTTAATCTCGAGTTTAACACAAATGTAATGTTAACGTAAGAAATTCAGATCAATTAACATTACCTGGTTAGTGTCCAGTTTAGCTATTTTCCCTGTTAATGATGAATGCGATATTAGATATATTAGATACAAACGCGAATATCGGAAGTAGTAAAACTGTGAATCAGACTCCGAGTCTGATAAGAAACAGGCAAGTCGTCGGGGATGCGGAATTATTTTGCAGATATATAAAATCACTCAAATTAAAATTTATAACCGGAATCCCGTTATAAAAATAAAGAAAGCACTCATAACAAGCAACATGGGGTTGAAGAGGGTTTGGGTTGGATAAGAATTTTACTTTCAATTGTTGAAAATCTCTTTTGTTTTGTTAACTGTTTGTCTTTATTTCACAGGCATTCTTATACCTGTAAATTAAGAAAGTTATTAACATGCAAAACTGCACAACATACTTTTGAAACACCCTGAAAGAGTGGGTTTATTTTTCATTTATTTGTCACAAAACCGTATAGATTAGTAGTGGCAAACTAGAGGGGTTTCGAAATGGATGTTGAAAAAAGTGTAAGCTTTAAGCAAGCTAAAATTTACTTTAACTGGCATTTGTTTTTTCTGTGGATACGAATAGCTTAACAAGATGCATATTATTTGATTTTTTTAAAGTCCAACTTTAAGTTAACCCTGTGCATTACAAAATATTTTTAAAATAGACCCCCGGTAGGCTGCTGCTTGCTGTAGCCCCTGCAATGTAGACATTTCAAATTGCCAATTCAATTAACGAAAAAAATACACATTTTAAAGATACAAAAACAATTTATTGCATAACCATAAACGTTTAGAAAATCTATATGTGTTTTCAACACTCGACTACAAATTTGGGGAAACAATTAATTTATTCTCCCAATTTTTTGTACAAAATAGGTACGTAGTCATCGTATTGAGCTTGGTAGAAATTTCCTGCCACTGGATTTCCCAGCTTGTATTTTTCGGCAAATTTCCTAATAGAGAAGGATGCACGCTTGTCTCCAGAACTGAAATGGTTGAAATTCATCAATATATGCTGCACATAAAAATCATAAACCAAAAAAAATGTATAATGGGCAGATGAAACTTTCTTTATTTTCCTTACCTTATAAACTATGAAAATTGAAAACAAGTTAAAAATGCTACAATTAAAATGTACACATCCGATCGAATATTAAAGCGAGAAAGAACAGAGAAACTGATGCAAATATAAAATCGAAACCCTCAAGCGCAAAATACAGTAAATGATGCATTAGAAAGTTTCAACAATTTCCTTTATTGATTTATTTGCCCCAGATTAGTCAGTAAGCGACACATGTTTTTCCCGATAATCGTCTTTATTTCAATTATAAATGATGAGACAATGAAGATTGAAGTACTGAAAGAAAACTATTTGTATTAAAATTACAAATAATATTTGCAATTTTAATACACTGAATCGGAAAAATTCAATAATACCAAAACATTTTTGATGGAATATATATCAGCGTTTTCCATTATAGATAAGGCACGGAGTAGGTTGATGTACCTTTTCAATAGTATTCTAGTAACGAATCCAAGTTACCTCCTTCATATAGGGTTTCTTTGTATTAATGAATGTGAAAAAATAAGTTTTAGCCTTTGATGATAAATACAAGGTCGGATCTAGCGGGAGGGTCATGACCCCTCTTTGTGCTGGGTGTGTCGACTAATTATATTTTTTTCTAATGTCTAGATAATTTAGAAAATAAATACTGAGTATGATGGCAAACACCAACGCGAATGACACGCATATTATGAATATTAAGAGCTGTTATTATAATTATATGGAGTATCAGATCCTTCAGTATGAATAAATAAGTAACTCTCTTAATACGGGCCCGATTTGAAATCGTATTTTGCAAACTTGAAATCAGTTGAGAAACGTAAAGTCATAAGAGTTGGAAGGTCGAAAAGATTATTTTTCAAGACAAATGTTATCAATGTTTTCTTTGGGGATTTAAGGTCGCATTTTTTCGGGTTTTTTTGCAAACTTTCTGCATAACTGTTAATATCGGGCCGATTTGAAAGTTTTGAAATTTGTTCAAAAACGTCCCATTTTCTATGAAAACTGCATCTTGGAAAATTGCCATGGGTTGAAGAAAAACGTTATGATTATTTTAACGTCGAAAAGAAGAGAAATATTAAAATTTCCCGAACATTTCGATTAACTCATTAACTCGATTAACTCATTTGTTTGGGTTAGTTAGAATACACTTTTATTCTCGGCACGTTCACTGTCTATAAGAAAGTTTGTATTTGCAACAGTTGGGAAGGAAATGGGATCTGAATATTGGCAAGCATAAAACTATCAAATTTGCTACAAGTTTGGCGGCTCACCAACACTTTTTAACCCCAAAATGAATTTTTAGATGCAAATCAATGGTTTAAAAAAAATTGCAATAAATAATGTTAAATGTTGGAAATTTTGTAATTTTTTGAATATCGCAAGTGTGCAAATTTAGACCAAAATGCCACTTTCCAATAACATCGTTTTCATATATAGTTTCGGAGAAAATGGAATTTGGAGGCACAACTCGGCAACTGGTGGAATTATTTCAAAACGAAAACGTTTTTGACAAAAATTGACATTGGCAACGGTTTGGGAGATAATGAACTGGCAACCGTCCGACTGTTCCATTTGAGCATACCTCCATTCTTTTGCCGGTAACGCCGTTAAATGTCGATATTTCAAAAGTTCCCAAACCCCCAAAAATCCCGAAGTAGCTATAAAAACTATTCCAGCCTCATATTGTAAAGCGCCAACAGCAAGGCAGTAACACGAGTTCAAACTCAGAAAGTGTGCAACCTTTTGAAAAAAAAATTCAGAAATTAATATTAGTTGAAAAGGTTGACATTTATGAAGACATACCAAATAGACGATTTTCCAAGCAAAATATTCGGAGTAAAAAATTTTTCAGTGCATTAAGGCTGAGGCTGATTACCCGAATTTTTGGAAGAATATAATGTTTTGCCTGCAAAGACTCCTTTTTTAATTATGGTTTTGCTCTGTTTTTCTTTGTTGTAGTTTTTTGCTCAAAATTGCAGCTAAATTCCTCGAAAGAGGATCATCTCTAAATTCAATCGAATAATTTTGTTTGTTAGAGTGGACCGATAGCTCTAAAGTGCCTTTCTTTCATCAATCAGTCATGCTGTTAGCGTGGTGACAATATTCCAATTATAATTCAAATATTTACATATTTAATACGGTTGAATAACAATCGGTTAGAATAAAGCTCGTGTCCCATGCATCCGTTTATACGACGGTACGAAAGTGTTTCTGTTGGTTGAAGACATGTCAGTTCGTGCGACGCCGGACGAATTAACAGATCTCCAACCAATAGAAACACTTTCGTTCCAATCGTATAAACGGATGCATGGGACACGGGCTTTAAGGACAAAATCCGTCAATAACTGAATTCGAGCGAGCCCTGACTGAATCTCTACTACATGACCCCCCTTGACTTGAAAGAGCCACCCTTGGATAAATACGATATCAATATATCTGCATTTACTCTTAATAGATATTTTTCGTTGAGCCATCATGAATAGGAGTTCAGGTACCTTTTCGAAATGTACCTAAATAAAAATACTTACGTGTCAGGAATGCGCGGTTCATCAAAGGTTAGCTTTCCGCTCTGTTTGTAGATCAAAAAGACGTATCTATGCAATCCAGTTTTTTCTGGTGGACCAGATCCAACATATCCAGATAGAACTTCCCCTTTTGATATATCGCTTCCAGGTACATTTACTACCAGCCAATGGTGCCATTCTCTGTAAGTGGGCTTTTTGCGAGAAGGTGCATCAGGATCTTCAAATTACCAAAATAATTTATTTAAGTTATTTGAAATACACATGTTTAACAAATAAAATAAACAGTAACTGGCAAGTCCTAGAAGAGGAGATTCTGAGTGACCACATGTATATTTACTACAAAGTGAAAGGGTTATCAAAAAAGGCAAGAAAAGCTGCGAAGGGAAAATTTTGGGCTGGAAAATAGATAGTACTTGTTTAGGAAATACAATTTTTTTAAGTAATAACTCGCAGTAAACACTGATATATGCTCAAAAACTCATGAATAGGGCAACAATGTTTTTATTCGCAAGTGCAAATGATGTTTTATCATTAACATTTGAAGATTATGGGTTTTCACTCAGGTAAGCATTTTCCCTATTATTTTTCATTAGTAATTAATATATATATAATCTACCTGTCATGCATACTGTGTAAAAGGCACTGGGGTCTGCACTCCATTTAAGTTTCGGTTGGTCCTTGACTTGGGTGGGCGTAAGTTCATTTCCTTGGTCCGCTTTTACCCCACTAATGTAACTAACCTGAAACGCAATTCATATGTTTATACATTTTTTATTTGTAGTTTCTTGGTCATTTTTTACAGCCTACAAATGTTACAATATACGTCAACGATATATATTTTAATTTATATATTGGTTATTTGCTCACAATTTTACAACGTCCATGACGAGCAAATAGTAATTTAGTAATAAATTTTTATTTATATGTGACTTATTATAACATGTGGGCTGAGTAAGTTAAAAGCGTAATTGAGGATGCAAATGGTAGAATTATAGTTATTCGTTTGACAAGACGCTAAAATGTTATTTTCGGCGATTGATAAACTCCCTAGTGAATTATTTGATGATTTATTGATGAAAATTAGCCATTGATATAATTGAAGCAAATGCAAATTTTAACAAAGCTTATACAAATTCAGGACTGATTTTATTTGAAATTTATGTCGTTTTTCAGTGAAAGCCATAAACTCATTAATGTTAAATGGAAGAATGTAGCTTAGATCAGTATTGCGCTGATCACTTCAAATAGTTCATACAAAGTTAATTACAATATGGGAATGTGCAATAGCAGCTTTGGATGAAAATGTTTCGGTATCATCTCTCAACGGAGTGGCGAATGTGGCGATAATAAATAATTTATTATCTTCGATAACAATTTCAGCCTGATTTGGTCCAATAACGTAATAAGTATGTCGTCAATCAATATTTTATTGTAGTTAAAGTTTAAAAGTTCTTTCCAAATGGCTCTATTTGTCTGATTGATAGTTTCCCATAATTGCAATAAAATTATCCGCTTCATATTTCAAAGGTTTATGATATATAGATAGGAATTACAGTGGCGTAGAGTGGACGGGCGGTTTTTAGGAAAAATTCAACAAGAAATTATCATTAAAACATACGTTGATATTACTATCAAATATTTTGTTATAGGACAGAAAATTTCTAAATCAATCAATTTTCAAGTTTTTATATCCCAATATAAAATCTGCATATGAAAGCACCGTAATAATTTATTGTCAAAATATGAATAGTTCAGTCATCAACCTACTTTTCCGAAATATTCAACAAAAAAACTGTTTTAAAATTTATTGATTGTTATGAATCGGCCAAAAAATATTTGAATTACTGAAAAGTAGTTCTACGATAAGCCACTGGGGAAATTACTTACGATGGAAAAATCCATTACGAGTATTTCATATCTACAGTCATGAATTGTGTTATTTTATGCTAAAGCACCAGCTATTTTTGTCCGTATTCCTCTGTTAATCGCAAAATTTTAAGTAGGTATTAAAAGTGAATAACAACAATATATTAAGTTTAATCTGAAAACGAAAAAAGATAATATTCGCAATTATGTAAGTTAATAAACACGTGTGACAGTTTATTAAATAAACATATGAAAAACAACCTAAATATAGCCTGAAAAGGTCACGTAAAAATGCATGTGCATGTCGCATTATCAATTCGGTATCTATAAAACATTGATGAAACTGTATCGACTTCGAAGGTTAAAATGAAGGGAGTCATGTTCTGTGATAAAATTATTATGCTGAGAACACCCTAAAGCGATAGTAGAAGCTCAACAAGCAATAAAATAAAAACACTGATTTTAAAACAATTTTTGACGTTAAATTTAAACTGGCTCTGGATTTTTAATTAAAAAACTTAGACCTATTTGTACATTAGTTAGATTCAACAAGAGTGGTCCTGTACAGTTAGGTGAACACATTTGGCATTTTCCCTGTAAAACATATTTTCAGATGAATGAATGGGATATGGAAAGTATATTCAAATTTCAAGGCTAGAGGAGAAGGTTCTTCTCTGGAATAAGATGGTTTTACGTAATTAAAAATTGATCACTTTAAACATATTTTATTCAGTGGTTTAATTCATACTTGTAAATCACAAAATTTATCCCGGTGTACTAACATCCAATGTCCGAAAAATCAGAACCGGATAATGATAGATTTTTCTTCTATACTATATATATTATATAAGAAAAAGTTAAAATGGTCTTTAACTAATATAGGCAATTTCACGATTGGAAGTTTTGCAGGATTAACTTCTTAATTAAGAAATTTCAAGGTAAGTAAGTAGATTTTTTAAATTTTCACCAATTTTTACCTGCTGTTCGTTTTTCTGAAGCATACTAAACAAAATAATTGTTAATGTGATCAAATACAAAAATTAGTGTACTTAAACTCAATATCTAATATTAAACTTTAGAACCTGAAATATATTTATTTATTTAAACGTTCATTCTAAGTTGACAATTATTTACATAATCTGTAAATCGGGTTGCTCGATTATGTGTATACGTAACATTCGCTGATTTTTTTCTTCAGTTTTGTAATGAATAATGCAATATTTGTTGTCGTTTTTTCAAACTTGCATTGTTTAAATAGTTAAACTCACATATTATGAAATGTTATAAGTGACGCATTTTCTTTTGTGTCAATTTTTCTACATTACCATAACGTATCCGGATATGATTTGAAAATAAAGATGTATTATTTTATACAAGTTGATCTAGTTTTAATCGAGAACAATTTTTAATATAAACGTGGGCATTTAATTTCTTACATTCTGAGGGATGTATTTTTCTTATTTTACAGCATATTTGAAATAGATGTAAGACGGTCATCTAGACGAATTTGCATGCAGGCTAAAACCAAGTTAGTTCTGATGTTTTCTTCAATGACAAATATTTTGAAATGTTGAAAGTGTTATTGTAACTCTAAAAACAAGTTTACACTAATGAAAATATGTTTCGCTTTACTCAAATTATGTACAAAAAATATGTTATAATATAATATTGTCTAAACAATTGCATGATTTTACAAGTTCAAGAAAATTGGTTTTACATTGATGCAATTTAAAGCAAAGAGCTTGTTTTTGCTTATGTTATGACTTTGTTTGTTACAATCTGTTTAGTAGAAAACTGACAGGCTTTCTATAAGGCACAGTCGAAATGTTTCGCTACCAGAAGAATAAACAAAAGTCCACACAAAACTATTAGTAGCAGTTATTGCATAAAAGGAATGTTATAATTAATATTTTAAGCTACAGTTAATAATTTGCTTCGTAAATAAGCACTAAATTGCTTTAGGTAGGTTATTATTTATAGGTATATCATACAGTTAAAACTACACATTTCATCATTTATATTTCTCACTTCATTCAGCTCTTATGCCAAGTATTTAAAAAATATATTTTGTAACATCAACTTTGATATTTTAAGTTAGTTCTCGAAAATATAAGCTCTTAAAAGAGAAGTTTCAATTTTAATATTAAACACTCACAAATAAAACATAATTTTGAAAGAAACATTTGATGACAAAACTACTTAAGTATGTTAGCGTATTTGCGGTTATTTTTTAAATTGTGCTCTTCAAAACTCAAAATTTATAACGATGTCGAAAAAGCATCGAGCCATTCCTTGAGTTGCCTCCAACTAGATCTGATGAAATGTTAGACCGAACAAACTATGGCTTATCAAATTTGCACATTTTAATCAGAAAACGTTTATGTTTAACAACAAACTGTGCAGTTTGCCTAAAAAAAAATGATGTTGCGTGAAAAAGTGAGGTTGAAACATTTAATTCTACTCAACTGATGAGAATGACGAATTTATAGTTCCATCAGTAGAATGATCAATGAATGAAGTTTTTTTGTCCTCTAGCTTCACTTGTTATTTTTGTTAATTTGCGCATACAACATTTTTACCTAATTTATAATTTAGTCTTTTTAAAGAATCTCAGTATACAGGGTAATTCTAAATTCCTCTGGAGGTGTTTAGGGAGTACAGGGAAAATAGTAAAAAAATGGTGTTTTTATCAGACTGAGATATCTGAAAAAAACTAGATCATAAATTCGGCAGAAAAAAGAATGTTTTCAAGGTAATCTGCCTCATTAATATTACGTAAATACATTTTGCTTCTTAATTATTAAAAGCTCAAGTAAAAATGAAATAGCTTAGGGCAGTGATCGGCAAACTTATTAGCCAAAGAACCAAGTATGAACATTACAACAATTTAAAAAAAATTGCGAGCCAAATATGCTTGTTTAGTAAACATTTATTACACTAAATAAAACTAAATGTAATACTTTACTTAAGAAATATTTATTAATACGAACAATGTGCTTTCATCTTCCTTGGAAAGTTTGAGTAAGTCAGGTTTGGATGTTGTTTTTAATTTTCGGCATGATTCTAAGTTCTCATCAATAAGACGACGTCTCAGTTTACTCTTGATAATGTTCATGGTTGAAAAAAATTGTGCGCATATACAAGGTGTCCCGTAAAGACATGATCAAAAGGTACTGCCATATTCTTTGGATCAAAAGAAGACGATCTGACCTAACTTTTATTAACAAACAATGACTGGCTCCTCAGCTATTGTTGGTCAAAGTTCTTCAAAAAAATGATCTTTTTCCAAATATCGGGAGAATGGTACGATGTATTTAGTGAAACTCGCTGTGAATTTGTTCTTATGTAAGACTCATATTTTGATGAAACAATCGAGTTCAGTCGTTTTGGACAAGGGGTGGATTCTTGAGTGTCAGGTTTTGGACGATCAGAGAAATGATCATTAATTTGGAGCTTTTGGGAATGAGCATATTTTAATTAGAGTAATAATTATTACTATAATGACAAAAAAAATTATACCTACTCATTAGGTAATGAGTATCATAATTTTTTTGTCGGATTCAGTATATATTCTCTACCTCCATTTTTTATGCCAATTTTAATTGGCATGAGTTTCATAGAGTAGAGTATTCATATGGTAATTTTGATAAATATGCTGGCATAAGACACGTATAATAATATGCAATTATTTTGCTTCGGAGAGCAAAGGGCTTTTTTTAGGCACTATCGGGTAAGTATGATATGAAAATATGTCTAAAATTACATCTACGAAAACATTTTGCCGGAAAAAACTTTACCTACAATACAGTACTTTAAGTACTTCGAAACTGACTTTGAAGACAGCCTGTACATGTTATGCTCCCAGGAAAGACAAATTAATAGTACCGCTAAAGGGCTAAAGGCCCCCCCGTACTTGGTAATAAGGTTTCCGCATTATTACCTATTAATAGTAAAGATTTTACGGGAAAAAAATATTTTCTGGACAGCTTATGAGTACAGTGTGGTTATGTAAAGTATGCTTATCATTTCCCGAATGATTTAAAACCAATTGAACGTATCTGCTAATGTATTCGATTATGCATTGTGTGTTTATCGCCTTTTTGGTATTCTTTTATTCAAAATGTATTGCAGAACTAACTGAAAACAAATTCCTAAGTTTGATGTTTACTAACATTTAAAATCCCCTTTTCCTCAAACATTGAAATTAATCTTACCTCGGCCACTTCCTTGGGTGCAACCGGAATCACATCAGGAACAACTCCGTGTTTTTCCATAATTCTGGATACAGTTGAAAATACTCGCGAAATTAATGCCGGTTTCGGAATAATAAACATTCCACTTATACCAACTGGTTTTATAGGCGCCAGACAGCCGCGAAAATTCCGCTGAACCGCACCTGCACTTGTCGCTTGACAATGTTGCCGTGCCAGCCATTTTACTTCAACTTACTACTCACGGCGTAGATATCCTCTCCATTCGCTGAAGTTGCGACCGGAGGGTACTTTCTATAAATTACCAACCTCTTGCCAAGATTCTCTTTACAGAAACGGGAATCACGACTCTGTCCCTGGATTCTGGACGGGATGGTGGATGCGCATAAAAAAGTGAAAAGTTAACGTGATTGTTTATCATGTAGATAAGCGAGGTACGGATTACACAACCAGTATTTTTCAGTGACATGTTCCATCTGCAACTGTTCCAAGCTCGTACCTGTTCCAAGTATCTGTGATTTTTTGGCCCATGATAAATATTGGTTTGTAGCTGAAACCGGGCTGAAGCGTACTTTGAGCCCAGTCGACTTTAAAAGGCCTGTTTCTGGCACCAAAAATATGAAGGTAAAAGATTATTGGAAATTGTTCGGAAGGATGTCAGAATATCGGCAATAGTTTGTGCTCGATTTCCGGCTGTGGAACATTGTTTATAAACAATTATTTATAAATAATTAAGTGCAAAAGCCCGCTTTTAGTGCATAATTGTTGAACCGTTAATGCTATTGAAAAAAAGTTTTATCGGTTTTTTCAAGTATTAAAAATACCTATAATATCAGATAAACTGCATTAAAATTCGTTGATTAGTTTACTGAGAAATCGAAAAAAATTGTCGATTTCAGCGTTTTGTTAATTTTCTATAATTAATTTAGTTTTGTTTCAAGAAAATCGTACCATAACTTTTTTTGGTAAGTCAGTAATAAGATTTTCATTTATTGTACGTTGTATAGTATAACTCTTTACGAGTAAAATACAGCCTCAGAGAAGTCTCTCCGACGTCTCAAGAAAAATATATTTAGAAGAAGACAAGAGCCCTTTTTACATAACAAATGGGAATGAACAAGTTATGAATATTTGAAACTAAAATTTATACCACTTATAAAGTATGCAAACACCTTAAAAAATTATAGAGATATTTTTTGAAGCCAAACCAAATTAATTATAAAAAATAAAAAAAAAATTGCTTTCATCTATTTAGTGCCCGGAAAAAACCTAATCTAATTCGACTGTACTAATTGTTCCATTGAAGGATATCCACGCCACTTCCTAGTAATTTAAGTGCGAATCTGCTGGGTCAACGATAATTTATGACCGAATGCCTTTTGTTCCTTTATGTATGCAAGGGCTGATGGTCAAAAAAAGTCATAACATTTTTTATGAGTACCGTTTTACCATTTTGTCGAAACTTTATTTCCACTTAAGGGCAGTAAAATGTGAATTTTTTTCCTATCTTTTATTTTCATGCTAATTACTGATTACAATTGATCTTATAGCTTAATTGACAATTGGCCCTTTAATACTTCAGCTATGTTTGATATAAACAAATATTGAAACACGGTCCAGGACATGGACTAGGTAAATATACCCTATACAAATTTAAATGTAGTTCGTCCACTACTCCACTGGGCAAATGCAACAAATGCTATTTTATTGCAGAAGCACTGCTATTGGTCGAAAATGAATAAGTTTCAAGGACAAGGAACAGCTCAGAAATCCGAAAAAACCGTCAGTCAGTCACAGCCTGTAACTCACAGGCCTGGTCACATTAAATAAAATATCGGAGACGGCTGTTACTGCTGTTCCCGATATTTTCGGTTCATTGTATATTGCTATTTACCGAATCATGGGTGCATGGGTTCGAGAATCAGCAGGTCCCACGTCCCACTTCCATACATACAAAACCTTAGCACTTCATGAGAACACAATATCTTCTTTCACTAAATCTCAGGCCAATTGAGAACGACAACGCCGTGGAAAATCAAAAGGTGCAAAGGCAGGTATTTACCTTTTTGCTTTGTTGAAATATCGAAGTCCGAGTTGTACTGGTACTGAACAGCATCGTACGCGAGCCCTGTTATTTCAAATCACATGTTATTTTAAATTTCGATAACAGGTACCGACTGTTCCATACCGATATCTGTTCCAAAATACCTGTGACAAGTATTTCGTGGCATCCCTAATGCCAGGTACTTACTAGGGATAGTACCATCCACAGAACATACCCCCATTTATTTTATTTATACATTTTTTTGTTGGGGGATATTTTGTGGTACCCTTTGTAATGGTGTCTTTCCTTTGTTTATTATCGGCCCAGAAGCCAAGCGTACAACAAGCCACAAACACCACAAAGGAAACAACAAAAAAAGGTGTTAGTCACGGGACGCTCAACAGAAGTGATAACTTCATATTATTTATGGAAACCATAAAATATTGAACTTATTTAACGCATGATTGCAATGTTGTTGTTAGTCTAAGAATTTATAAAGGGATCAGGAATAGTGTGCATTCGAGAGACCTGCGTAGCTACTTGTCTTTATCTATCCAGACATAACGACGCCGTAACGCATTTCAATCGATTCACAGCGCGACATAAGAAGTTATCACTTAAAAAAAATAAAAGGAAAACCACTGCAATTACCATCGAGCCACTCGGTTGGCTCGAGTTTTTTTTTAGTGTCGCGGCGTCAAACGTTTTCTTTGGGTCTAGGAGCAGGAAAAAAAGAATTTTTGTTTTTGAACTAGGCGTCACTAAAATAACCGCTTGGCGTGGCACCATGGGGACCTGATCACACTCGTATCGGATCAGTGTGCACTTTCTTCGGGACCGCAGAACATCCCCTCTATGGGGGATGTTCTCTGTTCGTACCCTGACACGCTATTATTTTATGGATGAATACGAGAGATGTTCAGGGCGGTCAAAAAATGATCGAAGAGTCCAGGAAATTAAGGCTGGTGGGCAACTCGATTGTTTCATCAAAATATGAGTCTTACTTAAGAACAAATTCACAGTCAGTTTCACTTAAATACATCGCATCATTCTCCCGATATTTCAAAAACGATAATTTTTCTGAAGAACTTTGACGATCAACAGCAGAGGAGCCAGACATTTTGTGTTAATAAAAGTAAGGTCAGATCGTTTTCTTTCGATGCAAAGAATATCCCAGTATCCTTTTGATCATGTGCTTACTGGACACCCTGTATATATACCGATCTCGATGTATTGTACAGTACTAATCGCGATAATTCTGACTTGGAATTAGGTTTGAACATACCACAAAGGTACGTTTAAGAAAACATCAACAAGCGTGCAATTCAAATCATAATTGTATATTTTCAGGTATATTCGAGATAGGGAAAATACCATAGAGAAATGTACTGAAACCGATTTCAGAAAACGATTTCGTTTCCCAAAGGAAATTGTGCAAAATGTATTGTTGCTATTGATCAATCAGCAGGAACAAATCACAAATCGAGGCATTCCTGTTCTTTTGATAATATATATTTTTAAGGAATCTTCTTGTCAGGTTCTACTTGGTGGAAAAAAATCAAGCTTGTATGTATCATGTGTTATTCAAATAATAATAATAAAAAACAAAGTTATTATTCCATTAAATTTATTTAATGTTTAGAAAAGAGGTTTCGGAATCAATTGATTGGTTTTCTCAACGTTAATAACAGCTTTGACCGTTAATATGTATTGTTTTGTAAATAGTTATTTGGCGATTAATTTATATAATACCTTATCCTTTGAGGCAACTTGCCACTTTCAAACGACACACCATAACTAAAAGCAGTGCCGAACTTTTATCGGTAAATTAATAATATCGCAGCCAAAGCGGATGACGCGGGTCACCAGAATAGTGATAGTGCGTATGCTCATTCTATGGGAGAATCGTCGGCGATTCCATCTAACGAAGAATACCTTTGCATCAAAAACCCGTCGCCTTCACATCGACGGCGGCAAGCTCGGCTAGCCGCCAAAACAATATCCGGCAAAGTGCCGAACATCGACTATGCACACCTGCGTAAGAGTTTATCGTTTGATCCACCACGCGGCACGCCATTTCAATGAAAGCCCCAAGTTTGGACGTTTTTTCCACTTTCTTGCGTACATTTTCAAATACATCGATTTACTTATCCGTACTGTGCGGAATAATAATGAGTGTCCAAAGAGTGGCGTAATATGCCATAATAGCCTCCATTTCTATACCAATCGGAATAAATAAATCATAAAAATAAAAATTCAAATAAAAGTAATTATTCAAAATAAATACACAAAAAAACTGATGTATTTTTAAGTATTCGAAAACAAAACTAAAAAATATGTAGGCAGCTATAACTTCGTAAGTAGATCATTATATCATCATCATTATCATTATATCATTACAACAGTTAATGATGGAATAATCTCAGATTTGTTAAAGCCAATACAATATTGTGGTCATTGCAGGCTTTGATCACTTCTTCATCATTTTTAGACCCTGCTGGACTACCAACAAATGTTACACCACTCTGAAACAAAAAAATGGTATACATAAATGAATCATGTAAGAAATAGGTATTTACTAATGGTAATAAAAGTAATTTTCTTATTCAAGTGACAGTTGCTTTTGTGGGCCAAATTAAATTTATGATTACAAATCCAATGTTGAATCACTATTAAATTTTGCAATAAATAATTTAACATACGCAAAAACAGATACACCAAATGTACTCAGTTCTAAATGGGCCATTTTAAATTAATTTAGTCTTAGATCCATGGTGTCCTAGATTTAGTCATAATTAATAATGTATAATTATATTAAACTGTTTTCTTAAAGAAAAGTCGTCTGTGGTAATAAATTTAAGGTCTAGATGGATTCAAAGTATTGCATTCATTGTTGAATAAGATGTGAAAACGCTATTTCTAATGCCGCGTCCTGACCTAACGAGCCGAGCCCGACCCGATCCTGATCCGCGGCATCTACTTTGATATTTCTCCGAAACACCGACAGAAAATCGATCGGACGAAACAACAACAAAATTTTGCCTCAACTCAGGTTGGGCTCGTCAGGTCTGCACGCACCATAACATTGTCAGAACGGAAAACGGTTTTTTTCTTCTACATTCAGTTGAAACAAAAAAGCTCTTTTGGATTTTCTTTGTCAAATGTACAGTTTTTGATAACAAAATTGACAAGAGATCTTCAATAATTAAAGATAATTGTAGTGCAACGTAGGTATAAATAGTTTAAACATAGTTATATTACTGCGGGAGAATTGTCGCATTGTTTATTGTAATAGCAATAGTTGCTGTTATTTTTGTTAACAACTTACCAATCTTGCTCTGTCAATGTTGTCCCTGAATGGAAAGAATGCATCAGAAGCCAATGCCACTCCGGACATTTCGTGCAACCAAGCTTCTTTATCTTTTTCTGTTAAAGGTGTAGGCATTTCATCAAACATTGAACTGAATACTTTTTCATCCATGTCTTTTCCTAACAAAATGTAGAATATTATCAGATATATATATATATATAATATTGTCAGACTTATTCAACTTAATCAAAATAAAATTTAATGTAAATTTGCAAAATTTTAATAAATTGTCAATAAGCAATCACTTACTGGGTGAATTTATTACTCGTTCCGTTGAGTTTTACTTACCAATTGTGCCATTAACATAATTGTCAATAGCATTTGAGATTTCTGCCCTTTTCACGCCCTTCTTAAATTTCATGCTCAAAACTTTTGGATGGCGCCTCAACCACCAATTATCTGCTTTCTCTCCAGCTAATCTATTAAGGGATTTAATAGAAATGAGAATGTTAAAATGTCAGACTAGCAAATCGTATGAATGCGTGAAATGACCATTTGAACCGATATTTATTTATGCCATAGTTATATGTAGGTCAATGTACGTGTATAATGTTGATAAGTGATGGTAGAAACTCTAGACGATAAGTTATTTACGCAAATTATTGCAAACTATAATAGACATGTTTTGAATGAATAAATGGTGATCCAAAAGACTTTAAGATCAAACCTTCTAGTAAACGAGGGTACTAAGGGCAATTTGGGGATCAGTTTGTCTACGATTTTGTTACGACCAAACGAAAATTTGATCTAAGAAATTCCACTTAAAATAAATAGTCAATATTTTCAAAATTTGAATTAAAATAACTGTTCGTGTGAGGATTCTAAGAGGTGGTTTAATAAGATTTTCAATTTTCTCGAAAATTATGCGTCGTACGGAAAATACTCAAGAGTGCTTTTTTGCTTCAAATTGGACAAAGAATGACAAGGTGAATTTAGGTCTGTGATAAATCAGCAAAACACCATTTTTTTTTTCAAAAATGTTCAATGTCAAGTAGGTATGTGCGTCACTGTTGGATCAAAAAAATGATCTCAATAGCAACATCTGCAAAATTTCGTCAAAATATTTCAAGTGGTTGTTTTATTTTCCAAATATTTCAAAGGTTTCGGATGTACAAATAATTTTTTATATTTATCAATAAAATATTAACACGACCCTCGTTTATTACAACTTTTTATCCTCAAATAATGCCAGCAATCACCGTGTATGATAGTGCTTTCCACGAATACACTTACTTTTATGCAAATTTCCTCATACCTTGTGCAATGAATTCTTGACTGTTGCCCAGCACCGATTCCAATAGTTTGACCATCTCTGGCATAGCATACTGAATTACTCTGAGTGTATTTTAGTGCAATTGTGGCAACGATCAGATCTCTAACAGCATTTTCTGGTAAATTCTTGTTTTGAGTCACAACTTTGTTAAAAAGAGAAGAATCAATAACGGCATCGTTCCGTTTCTGTTCCAAACTCAAACCAAAGAGTATTCGACGTTCTATTGCATCAGGTTCATAAGTTGAATCAATCTGAGAATATTAATAATACTTACATTGAACTTTGATTGGTAATAAGCCTTCTGATGGTTTTCCCTTCTATTTCATTATGTGAATACGAAAATGTGTAAAATGATCAGTTAAAATGTTACAAATTAATCAAATTGAGGTTCCTATTAAAAATAGATCCAGAAAAAAGAATCCCATATAAGGTCCATCAAATAGATACTCAGTTTGAAAATAATAAAATACTACTCGCCTCCAACACACAATATGCTCCATTTTTCTTCTTTGTCAATAAAGCTAAAGCCTCTGATGTATACCCAGGAGCAATTATACCGTCCGACACTTCTCTGGAGATTATTTTAGCTGTAACTTCATCGCAAACATCAGAGAGAGCAATGAAGTCGCCAAAAGAGGACATGCGATCTGAACCTCGAGCTCTCGCATAGGCAGAAGCTATTGGCGTCAATTTTTCCAATAGGTCATCAACCATGCATAACTTTGCCTACATTTAAAATAAAATTAATAATTTTATTATACTGCAATATGTAAATTGGTACCATATGAACATTAATTTTGAGAAAAAAGTAATTCATTATTAAAAGTTTTGAGGGGTCTAAAACCCGGCAAACATGCATAACAGCATTAAATTTAAGTTTTTCAAGCGTGTACAAGTTTTGTCAAAACATATGAGTTTTGCTCAGGAGTAAAGTACTTTTATTTTTGACAATATCGAGAATTGCTATTAAAAAAGTTGACCAGATCTAAAAACCACATTTAAATAAGCAATTACATCTATGTATTTGAAAAAATATAGAATTTGTTTTCATAAAATTTTCTAGACGATTAATTAATTATCACTTTCTCTGTAGCTCTTACAACCCATGATGGGTCCTTTGACATGGCGGGCCCATCTGAGTCTTTCCGCTTTAATTATTTTYCCAATGTTCGCTAAATCATATAGTCGTTCTATTTCCCTGTTTTTCCTATTACRATATTGTTGTGTTGYTTCATGTCTTGTAGGTCCGTATATATTCCGTACAATTTTCCTCTCTGCAATCCTCAGTCTGTTTTGTCATTATTCAGGTCTCATAGGCGCACGWCATAATGTAATGGTATATTCTTATTTTAGTCGTCCGAGATACATTTACATACATGTTATTGTCTGACGTGATAGTGGCACCCATATATTTAAATTCATGATCTCTTTCGAAAGTGTATTGGTCCATCATCACATTGTGATATTGTGATAATTCGATCCCTGTGCTCCGTTCTTGATGTGGTCATGTACTTGGTTTTACTCTAATTGATTTTTAGGCCTACACTGTCCGCTGTACTCTATTTTTAGAAATTCTTCTTTAACATTCACAGTTGTGTTTCCAATTATGTCTATGTCATYCGCAAAGGCCAACAAGAGACCCGATTTCTGAAAAGAAGATTATCCTTTTTCGCCTCCCTCATTACCTTCTATAAGACTATATTTAAAATGAGCGGGGATATGGTGTTTTCATCTTTTACGCCATTATTTATAGKAAAAAATGTTGAGAGCTTTCTTCCGATCCGTACTACACTTGCGCAGTCTTCCACACTGATYTTTGTTAARCTGAMAAGTTTATTCGGGATCCCCAGTTCTACCATGACATTCCATAGCTCCACTCTCAAGACGTCGTACGCTTGTTTCAAGTCGATAAAGAGTGGATGTAGGACTTTATCGGATTCCCAGTACTTCTCTATTAGAGTTCGTTACCTCCTCAAGAGTTGGCTCTTCGATCAGTGGACCTACTGTATAGTAGGTGACCGCATCTCCCTTTGCAACTTTGTTAAAACTGGAACGACTTGATCATTTAAAGCAACTTTAAAAATCTTCAGAGTGATGAGCGATGGACGGTGATTTTTACAAATAATTTTTTGTAAACTTTTGCTCTCTGCTCGTTTTTTCACTATAATCCTAATTATTTTCGGTAAAATATTGAATAAAAYTATTTGGTTTTTGTGCCAAATTCGAAGCTGAAATTGTGTTTTTTTTGGAAATTTTGTRATTTTTGGCTGAAAAGAAGAAAACCATCAGAAAATAATGTTTTTTTGCGKTTTTGGAGAAAACCATAATAGCTTTCGGGGAAAACTGAAAGGAATTTATTTTCGTTTTAGTCCCGAATTCGTAAGTATTTTTAAGGGAAACTACAAAATAGAGCGTTTTTGAGTAGAAAGTAAAGCAACAAAAAAATYCAGTCAACACTAAAAAAACATTTTTTTAACAAATTCTACAGTCTTCAGAGGTATGAAGGTGACGAGATTTCCAAATAATCTGTTTAAAACTTTCGCTAATTCTGTTCATTTTTTGATTGAAAATTATTTGATTTTTGTTCCAAATTCGAAGCTGGAAAGGGATTTTACAACTTTTTACAAAGCGACGAACGATTCTAAATTAATTTCATATTTTTTTGCGGAAAATACTTTAGAACATTGACCATTTAGAAGAAAGAGTAACTTGGCTAAAACTGGAAAATTCTGAAGAAATGTAAAAAGTATTATTAATAAATGACTCTTAAAATAAATCTAAGAACAAGTAAAAAAAGTTATCAACATTTTCCCAGAAACGGAACTGAGTTACTGCGCCGGTGCGTTGGGTTGGCGCACCAAGCCATTTGCCTTTTTGCCAGGCCTATTCCACTAGACTTAAACTTCTTTATTTTTATTATTTTTGGATCAGTTACACAATTAATATATTTATTAGAAAAATAAAATTTTCGTAATTAAAATTAAATACTGCTTTTCTAAGCGTTTTATCGGTTTCTAAAATAATCAAATCAATTTCAATTTGTTCGTCATCAGCTAATTACAGAATATTGCGGTACTTTCTTTATCAATTCGCAATTTGACGATCGCTGTAAAACACCTCTTGCTATCTACAATTCACAGAGTGCACATAACTAAAACTTTAATTAAATTTGCATTGTTATAGTAGACACGTTTCAAAAAAGAAAAACGTTTTCATTGCAAATTGGTGTTGTAATTGCATATTTAAACGACCTTTTTAGTTCTGATCAACAAGACAAATCTTTCACCAGAGCAACGAAACTCCGTCTAATTGATGCTCACATCTTCCCCATTGCAAAGTACGCAGCGGAAACATGGACTTTAAACAAAGCCGATAAAAATCGAATCGGGGATTTCGAAATGTGGGTCTATCGACGACCCTTACGAGTATCATGGACAGAACACCGAACCAACGTATCCATACTGCAAGAAATTGGTCCACGTACAAGCCTGCTAACCAGAATAAACCGCACGTATTTGCAGTACCTCCACTTCCTTTGGAGGATAATGGAAAGAGGAAACAATGCACAGTTATTTAACCTCTTAAAATTCATAATTTTTCATATGGTTTCCACTTACGCAAACATACTGTACATAATCAGTTCGCTCCTGACATCAACCCCGAGTGATTATTTAAAATTTGAAAGTTTAGCAAATTTTTGTCATAAAAATTTATTTCTTAATCCAAAATCAAGAGTTAAAAAAGAATGTCTGATGTAGCATAAAATATGACTCTCGGCTTAATCAATTAGATGCAGAAAATAAAATGTTTTGTTATATTGCCAAATGCGTGTTTTCAACAACTCAATTTCGTTATAAAATCTGGGACAATAATTATTTAGTAACGCAACTTGAATGTATGTAACAATAATTGAGTGGCGTAAACACTGTCTATAACAAAAACAGCAACTTGCTGATATAAATAGTTATTTTCAAGCCAAGTATCGATAATAAATTGGCTAATAAAATTCATTTTCATAACCCCTGCAAAGATAAAGTTGTTTTCGGTATTGTTTGCTGTGAACTATACATTGCAAAATAAAAACTATATTGTATGCAGCAATATATGCTGATTAGACGTATTATTGCCGGTAAACACTTTACATTCCTTAGATAATTAACCAATACTGAAAAAAAAATTCAATCCTGCATACCCAACCAACACTTACAACTTGAGACAGGCATAAAATATTTATTTCTTACTTCATCAGCACTAAGTTTTGTCCCAACTGCGGCTCCGGCAGGAGAGACATGTTTAAAACTCGTTGCTGCCGGAATACCTAGAGCTTTTTTAAGTTCCCGCACTAACTGCCAGCCATTCAAAGCATCGCATAAGTTAATAAACCCTGGCGATCCATTTACTACAGTCAATGGCAATTTTGGTAAAGTGGTGAAAATTTGCGCAGGTTTTTGATGTGGATTCATACCATATCTACAATTTTATTAGTTGTTTTATTCGATGTCATATTTAAAGTTCTGCATCCCGTAAATTACCTTAAAGTTAGCTGACCCACATTACTGGAATACTGTTTTCGGAAATAATCGGTTATGGCCGAGTCATACTCAGAAGTATGGGTGAATGCTTTCAAAGCTAGGCCCTGCCTGAAATAAGAGTAGCTACATTTAAGAAATAGCAATAAAAATACCCGGGATTCGCTTATCAAAACGAATAAAACAATCATAACACAGGAGAACATCAAATTATCATATACAAATAGTTAATTACACCTTAAACGTATTTACCTAGTTTGTAGCGTTGTATCTTTATCTTTACTGGCGTTGATTTCACTAATTACTTTATCATAATCAGTTGGATCGCAAACCACTGTAACTCTGTCGTGATTTTTTGCTGCTGCTCTAAGCAGAGCGACGCCACCTGATATAAGTGAGCACAAATATTAAAATATCTACAGTTTTCCAAGCTAAAAAACCAACCTACCAATATCAATGTTCTCTATTGCATCAGCCGCTGTAACATCTGGTTTTGACACAGTTTCCACAAATGGGTACAAATTGCATACAACTAATCTAATCATTTCAATATTCTGCTTTTTTAAATCTTCTTGATCTGAAGGGATCAGCCTTAAAAATTGCCGCCAATATTTTTATTATTCTATAAGAGGCCTTGATTTGTACCTGGATAAAATAGCACCATGTACTGCTGGATGTAGAGTCTTGACTCTACCTCCCAGTATTTCTGGAAACTGGCTAATATCGGATACATCACGCACTTGAAGCCCGGCATCGCGCAGAGTCTTTGCAGTACCACCACTTGCAATGAGATTGAAGCCCAGTTTTTGCAGTTGCTGGCCTAGCTCCAATATGCCTCGTTTGTTGGAAACGGAGATAAGTGCTGAGACATAAAACCGTATATTATAAAAATAAGCAAGTAACAACGCTGCCTACATTGAAACCCACGCGAGAAAAACACCTTAAGAAAGGTAAATATTTTAAAAGAAGAATCCATTTATTTATCCAACTTCTGAATCATATCTATTCAAGTCTAATGGAAAAGCTTTGCTATTAGATTTAATAAACTTAAACCAAATACAATTAACAGTGACGGTAAATGAATATTGGGAGCAGTTCCCTTATCGCTACAGAAATTGAAAATAGGACCACATTAAAAATAAAGAGACAAACATATTTATTAACTTTATTTTGATTTATTTTCCTGGCTGCGTGTAGAGACTGCTGTGAGTTTTAGAAATTATTTTTATTTTCATGTGTGTTTGTGTTGGTTCTTGTTCATTTATTTGATAAAAAATTGATTGTATATACAGGGTGGCCATTTTCTGAATATTTGTATGGGTAACTTCTACATTTTTAAAGATAGAGAATCCGTTAAATGGGCAAAATTGGGCAGAATTCGA